AGAGAGAGAGAGAGAGAGAGAGAGAGAGAGAGAGAGAGAGAGAGAGAGAGAGAGAGAGAGAGAGAGAGAGAGAGAGGGAGGGAGGGAGGGAGGGGACGCCATAACAAGCTCAAAGATTTCAAAGACAAACTGAAAATGATTCTTACGGAGGCAGACACTCCATTTAGCAATAGAAAGATAGCAAGTACTGCATCCTTGGACACAAGTTAATAGTAATTTTAAATAAACAAATGCATTAAGAACAATCCTAGGTCACAGTCTAGGTGATACCGAGGTTCAATACCTGAATTAGACCAAGAAAGCATTGCCCACTGAGATCTACCACAGCGTCTAGGGTCTCGGGTTTAGGGTTTAGGGTTTAGGGCTTGTTTTTTTTTTTTTTTTTTTTTTTTTTTTTTTTGTACGCAAAGAATTGATTATCCCTAGTTATTACCGACAGGTATATATCAATCAAAAGTCACACGCATACGATCATCCAGTTCTTTCAACATACAAAGCCAGGGGTCTAAGATGATGGTTGTTGCAAGATCACAAGGGAGAGAGAAAAGAGGGAATGGGGGAGGGAGTCCATAATTGGAGGGCAAGGGCGTGCTGGGTAACTGAACGAGAGAGAGAGACGACCCAAGTAGACAAATTATTGCTACTCTCTCTCTCTGCACCTACGCTGAGCTCACCTCATCCATGCCATGGCGGTTGCTGTGTTGCTCTTCGTCATTGACCCTCCGCAGCTCCCCCATTCCTTCCTTCCTTCCTTCCTTCCTTCCTTCCTTCCTTCCTTCCTTCCTTCCTTCTTGTCCCTCTCTTCGTCCTTCTTTCTTCTCCTCTCTTTCTTCTTCCTTCTTGTCCCTCTCTTCTTCCTTCGTTCTTCTCCTCCCTTCCTTCCTCCTCCTTTCTTCTTCTCCCTCCCTTCTTCCTTCCTTCCTTCCTTCCTTCCTTCCTTCCTTCCTTCCTTCCTTCTTTCTTCTTCTCCCTCCCTTCTTCCTTCTTTCTTCTTCTCCCTCCCTTCGTCCTCCTCTTTTTCAAAATGAAGAACAAATCCGAGTAGTTGGTCTTAATGCGCTTTTTTATCAACGACCTTCACTCCCGTTGAGTTGCCTTCTGTATCAAGTTAGACCCTCCGCGTGGAATTTGCACTCGACGTCAGTGGTTGTAGGACTGACCACTTGGAGTTCTTTGACTCAGCAATCAACACCAGCTTGCCAGCGTGTTTGTAACCCGCCACGTGGAGCAGACTCGCCCCTCCTGCCTGTTACAGATTGCAAAGGATTATTTCAAACATAAGTCTAACCAATCAACACAAAACATTCAAGATGGTGAATAGACTTTGCACCTATCCACAGATCAATCCACCAATCAGTCCATCAATCAAACCATCAATTAATCCGGCAATCAATCCATTAGTCAATCCAATCAATCAATCCCTCGTAGGACTTAACACGACATCTCACAACACAAGCTGGTCGACTCATCGCGTCCTGAGCTGGACATCAATCAATCAATCAATCAATCAATCAATCAATCAATCAATCAATCAATCAAAATCAATCAATCAATCAATCAATCAAATTCAATCAATCAATCAATCAATCAATCAATCAATCAATCAATCAATCAATCAGTCAGTCAATCAGAGAGTCAGTCAATCAATAAATCAATCAGTCAATCAATCAGTCAATCAATCAATCAATCAATCAATCAATCAATCAATCAACCAATCAATCAGTCAATCACTCAGTCAGTCAGTCAATCAGTCAGTCAGTCAGTCAATCAATCAATCAATCAATCAATCAATCAATCAAAATCAATCAATCAAAATCAATCAATCAATAGCTGCTGGCAAACTGTATCATTTCACTTGCGGGGAAGGATTGACTACATCCTCCGGCACGGTTTCCTTTGTTGTATCAAGTTAAGATTACATAAATGGAATTTTTTTATTTTATTTTTTTTCCCCTTTGAAATCAATCCAATCTCAATGACGACAGCTTTGGAAAATCGAGGAGTCCATCCATGCATGATTTTTTTGATTGGTGTGTTTGGGCGGGTTGATCATGCGCGACAATTTCCAGGATTGACGGAAGGATTAACATGCATACAAGGATGCTACCGTCTTCACCCGAATAGAACGCCCAGTCATCATCACTGTATGCATCTAGACTGGAAGTTGCACCAAATACAGCTATAATGACCGGGCGTTCTATTCGGGTGAAGAGGACGCTAGTCATAGTTTGTTGAACTGCGGAGTTCGTAATAACGTGATTGTTTTTTATCGTTAAAAAATAAATAAATAATAAATATCAATGACGACCACCTCAGATCTCTCTCTCTCTCTCTCTCTCTCTCTTAGGCGAGAGGGAGCACGCGGATCGTCTCCGTCATCCTCCTCACACTCGTAGGGCATACTCACATCAGATTCCGTTTCCGACGACTCTCTGGACGTAATTGCGGTCAGGTACATCCTGGAACGGCCATAATTGCGGTCAGATACAATCCAGGAGAAAGCCTTAGCGCGAGTAAGAGAGCTTGTACTTTGTAGATAGTGAGCCCACCAAAGATCGGTGTCATCAACAGATTTTTGATCATTTTTCACATAATTGCTACTGTCGATTTCCTGCACAGAGCGCAGAGAGACTTAACGATTAGAGATAGGCTGGCGGGAAACTGGAACGCCTACGTTTTGCGATGGCCTGTATCTGCCCAGAAACCTGCCCTCTATACCTTACTCAATAATGATGGGTTGATGCAATTCAAAAGCAATATGATGACTACCGTGCTCCTCATCCTATTTCGCCACGAAGGCATTATCTATAAATAGAATGTATAATTAAAAAAAAAAAAAAAAGAATGTATAGAGGGCACCC